TTGTCTCTAAATTGGAGAGACATGGATTTGATGGATGGACCACTTGATGGGTAAGGAATTGGCTGGATGGTCGTACTCAGAGAGTTGCAGTTAACAGGTCCATGTCCCAGTGGAGACTGGTGACGAGTGGCATTCCTCAGGGGTCAGGATTGGGACTGGCACTGTTTAACATCTTTGTTGGTGACATGGACAGTGGGATGGAGTGCACCCTCAGCAAGTTTGCCGATGACACCAAGCTGTATGGTGCGGCTGACACACTGGAGGGAAGGGATGCCATCCAGAGGGACCTGGACAGGTTGGAGAGGTGGGACTGTGTGAGCCTCACGGAGTTCAAAAAAGGCCAAGTGCAAGGTCCTGCACATGGGTCAGGGCAATCCCAAGCACAAATACCGGCTGGGCAGAGAATGGATCAAGAGCAGCCCTGAGGAAAAGGACTTGAGCGTGCTGGCTGATGAGAAGGTCAACACAAACCAGCAAATGTGCACTTGGAGGCCAGAAATCCAATCGTGTCCCGGGCTGTATCCAAAGCAGAGTAACCAGCAGGTTGAGGGAGGGGATTCTGTCCCTCTGCTCCGCTATGGAGAGAACCCCCCACTTGAATCAGCTCTGGGGTCCTCAGCACCAGAAGGACATGGACCTGTTGGAGAGAGGCCAGAGGGGGCCACGAAGATGATCCGAGGGCTGGAGCACCTCTCCTATGGATGAGAGAGCTGGGGTTGTTCAGCCTGGAGAAGAGAAGGCTCCCGGCAGACCTCAGAGCAGCCTTCCAGTATCTAAAGGGGCCAACAAGAAAGCTGGGGAGGGACTTTTGACAAGGGCAAGGAGAAGGGGCAATGGCTTTAAACTGGAAGAGGGAAGATTTAGATGAGATATTGGGCAGAAATTCTTCCCGGTGAGGGTGGTGAGGCAGTGGCAGAGGTTGCCCCAGAGCAGCTGTGGCTGCCCCATCCCTGGGAGTGTTCAAGGCCAGGTTGGATGGGGCTTTGAGCAACCTGGTCTGGTGGAAAGTGTCCCTGCCCAGAGCAGGGGGGTTGGAACCAGATGGGCTTTAAGGTCCTTCCAACCAAACCATTTTATGATATAAAAATAACTGTTTACAATGTTTAGTCTATAACCAAGAGAAAAAAACGCCACACTATTAAACAGCTGTGCTTTGATGAAAAATTTAAAAGACACATCTCCTGCATATTTCACCTTGACAGTAATGCTTGTTTTTCTCTTACATTGCACCCTGGGAAAGGAAATGGTGATTATCCAAATGATCCTATTAGTGAGTAGTGTAGGCAGCTCCTCCATCAAGAACTGAATAATATTCAGAATATTCCTTCAGAACATCCTGTAAATTATATTTTTAGCCAAAAAAAAAAAAAAATCCCAAACCAAAACCAAAAAAAGCCAACCAAAAAAAAAAAAAAATAAGAAAACCAACTGGTAGCAAACGAAGGAAGACACCCCCTAGTCAGACTTCCTGGACTTCCCTTTTCTTTTCTGTCCCTAATTGGACAAAAATGACCATCTAATAAAACAATCAAACAGTCTGAGTCTCAAAAATGAAGCAGAAGTTTAGTTAAATTTTACAAAGATGGGAGAAGACTAATTCTGTCACAAAATTGAAAATACGTGCTTTTTTTTTGCTTGCATACTGTGTGGCAATCAGTAGGTAGGTTTTTGAAATAAATATTACAGCTTAGTGCCACCTGTAAATATAACTTAAAATATACATCTCATATTGCTTCTGTGAATGTGAAAACGTATTTTCAAATTTCAAGTAAAAATCCAGCTACACATTGTACTTAATCAAAAGATGAGTAACAGATTTTTAAGTGAAATCTCAATGGCTCCATTCCATTGCATATATGACAGGCAGAAACTGGAAAGCTCAAGAACTTAAAAGTCAATTACTATAGTTGTAATTAAACAGATAAGAATTAACCAGTATTTGGAACTAGTTGTCTCTAATAAGGTACCACATATCTCAAATACAGTTGTTAAATAATCATTTCAGCAATTACTTTTTGCCCCTCCCTTAGCTTCATTGGTTTACTCTTCCTTAAAGTCTTGATGCATCATCGCCATCATCTTTACTTCCTCAGTTAAATTACTGTTTATGTCACTATGAGCTAATATTCTGGGTGGAAAGCTTCAGTGAATAGCCATGGACAGAAATTTCTTTTAAAGTCAGTCAGTCACAAACCAAATTTTGTCCATCAGGAACAGATCCATTTTACTGACAGGTTGTCCCAGCTGTGCTGAATGACACTGCAATTGTTTCTGTGCTTACATCCTGAACAAGGACAGAAAAAACTCTAAGCAAGGGGAAACAGAGGAAAATACTGCAGGTCTCCAGGCCTTAAACTGCACCCGCCCAATCCATTACTGCTTCTGCTTAAAGGCAAAATAAGAAACCTCAATTTCAAACCTGGTCATCTACAGCCAACAGCAGACACACACACACACACAAATACCTGATGGATTCAGTATCAATGTGCACAGGAGCAATCCTCTCAAGAAGAAACTTTATCATTTCCAGGAAAGGATTTGTTGGTTGTTTTGGATTGCCCAACTTCTTTGTTATTTCCCTCTGCAATATAAGTTTCAGTTAAATTTATAATCAATTCCACTCCAAAATTATTCACATGTTTTCAGAGCAATTCTTACCACACATCCTTCAGCCTGTTTGCAGGAACATGTTGGGCTAACAAGCGTTTCTAACTGACTTCTTATTTTTTCATCATCTTCTAGAACTTGTGTGAACTTTTTCATAAAATCTTGAGCTTTCCCTGGATCAGGAAGGTTTCCTTTAAATAAACAAAAGAAATCACTATTTATTTTAATAAGTATCAGTATTGTAAATTACACAAGTTTGAAATGTCACACCAAAAAAGTTTCTATGTGTATTTGAGTTAACCAAGGGTGGGGAAAAAAAAACCACCAAACCCAAAACCAAACCAACCCAAACCACAACACACCTGAACATATGCAGATATATCTATGAGTACACCAATTTCTAAAAAATGGTGTACCACAGATCTCCCCTTGGTATTTGCTTTCCCCACCCTTCACACTCTTTTTTCAGCAAATCTAGTTGTTAATAATATTAACAGCTGAGGTTGACCTCAGAATGCAAAGCCTACACTGCACACGAAAATATACTCTATATATAGATCACCTATGACAAGTGTGAAAAACATCAAGAGGGTATTTTTGCTAAATTACCCCTTCACTAAATGTAAGCTTTACAACAGCTTTCAACATTTAAAAAAAAAGCGCTTTTAAGATGCATTTCTTGAATTATATATTAATTTCATACTTAGATTATATTATAGCAAGACAATTTATTGGCAAAGCATTAGTATACTATTTAAGATGTTTCATGTTTTTGCTACAGCAAGTGTTAAGCAATGTTGGCACAGAAAATGGTATAGGACTACAGGATAATTAATTCAAAAAAAGTTCTACTAAGTATTTGTTTTGCTGTATCAATTTTCTTTTTTTAATTATTTTTACATACAACCCAGAACTAAAAGAATCAGAAAAAAATTACAAACTGTATCAACTTTAATATCATAAACAAAAGGCAAAAAGGATTTGGAACGTGGCCAAACAAGTACCAAGATTCCGTTTTCCCTCCACATTTTTTCAAAAATGTGCATAGCCTTAAGCAGTATCTTTTTTTGCCAGAACAGCTGGCATTTTTTAAAAAAAGGTTGATTTAAAACCAAAATTTCAGAACTGTAAAGCAAGTTTTTCTTCTTCATACTGGTTTTAATGCTATTGGCATGGTGGTTTGCGGGGAACAAGATGTGTCGCTTTGGGGTTGGTGGTTTTTTCTTTGCCAAGAGTTCAGGTTACACAGAAGTTCTTCAGTTTCCAAAGTGCCTTCCCTGCTACTGAAACCCAAATGCTTTTGCATTCTCCCAACAGCACTTACAATACCAACACCTCAAAGACAGGTAAGTTAGTAGATAGTTTAGTAGGTTAGTTAACAACAATTAATATATATTCTGTAATAAATGCTAAAGCAGACACTGACACCCTAAATCATCTACATTTTGAATTAGTCCACAACATATGCAGCCAAAATGTCACGAGATAAGCTTCATGACTGGAGACTCTTTACAGTAAGGAAGTAATTCTGCTTACAGTTGCCTTAATTCTTTAAAGCCTATTGTTATATCATGTTTATCGTGGTTTGTTTTAAGTTTTATCTGCTACAAAACTTCTTTTTATAAGCTTATCTCAAATGATTTTTAAAGCAAGAAACCAATATAGTTCAACTGTAATTTTTAGACAGTGTAAATACTTCAACTGACTTACTTGTTATAACCATTACTTTTGAGAATATAGCTTTACTGCTGGCATCTGTCTGCAAGTCACAAAAGAAAAAATGGATTAAGTAAAAATTCTACATTATATATTTCCACTTGGAACACGGTGCAAGCAAAACTCCATAATGCATTATCAACAAGTGAGCACCCATTTTGCTAACACATCAGTGTGTTAGAAATCAAAATCACCACTGCAAAATTAATGCTAGACAATTATAGGAAGTAAAAGGTAGATCATGCCTACAGTATCACTCTGTCTCACATATACTTACGTAAAATATTTTTATTACTTTTTAATCTACTATATAACTTAAGAACAGCACAAATGGGTTACTTCTGCAACTGTTTTCTAACTAAAGCCACTTTGTTTTTAAATCTAAAATGAACAGCAAGCATTAAATTCACTTTATCTTCTTGTTCAGGTACTGATTCTAAGTAGTCTCAGTAATAGTTCTCACCTTATTGTAAAGAACGGAGCAAGTCAATAGTAAGACAATTGCTACCCCCGTTCAGCTGAACAGAGAAGGCAGACAATAGCAGTGTAATTGTGAAAGTAACAATCAGGGACGATGACAGTAACAAAAAAATAAAAACATAACTGCATTTCAGGGTATCTGTGAAGCTTTCAGTGGAACTGTTGCTGATATACAGTCATCCAACAGCACCTTACAAGCAAAGTAAGTTACACAAAACAGACTTTTTCCTCTCGTTTTCCTTTTGTCAGTAATTCTTCTGGGACAGGACTTCAAATTCCACATGCAAAGTCCACCTTAAGAGTTAGTTCTGCCACTCAGTGAATGGAGAAGGTAAAAAGGGAATACAACAAATTTCACAGCCAGGTAAAACTACACAGCAAATACATTTTCTTTATGAGACTATATTTCCAACAAATAAGTGATGTTTCTATAACATATCACCTACTACTGAAAGTAGACAAACGAGTTACCAAGACACTTTTTCCCCAATTTTAGCTGTAATCCACAGTATTCTACAGACTAGGAAGTTTTATGAAATTACACTGACGTTCGAAATATTAAGGAATTAGCAGTAAAAATGAAGAAGTTTTATGGAATTACACTGACGTTTGAAATATTAAGGAATTAGCAGTAAAAATGACAAAGGGAATCAGTAGCTGTATAGTGAAGATAACACCCTAACCATCATTTTATCCACCTTGGAACACTTTTTGGAAAAAAGAAAAAAAAAATTGAAATCTTTCACTGCTGTGTAATAAGTGCTGTTAAACAAGAGTGAAACTCTGAAATCTTCATAAGCAAAATGAAAATTGGAAACTGAAAGAAAATCCAAGCTTACAGCAATGTTGTCAAAAGCATATAGACCCATCAGCTTCCAAACCACAAAGGAAGCTGCTCTTTTGCCAGTTGGCTTCTAACAGATCAACTTCAGTGACATAATCTATGAAGTATACAAAACTTCATAAATGCATGTAAATTATGGGCTACAACTATCAAATTATATTCTCCTAAGACTTAAACAGGAACACAACCACACTTTATGATCTTTCACTGGAAAGTATTTAAATTTAAAGAGAACAGTGTTTAGCCACCACCATCGCTAGCATTGTCTTTTATAGAACTCCCATTATATCAGACAGAAGCGGTAGTAGACAAGCCTAAAAATCCAAACCAAGAACATGTCAAATCAACTCAGAAAGGAGGCTCACCTTAGAAGAAGAACTCTTCCTACCAAAGTACCTAACACAAGCCAAATGAAGACCTACAGCGCGCCTTTTCATCAGGTTCGTATCAGGAAAGAACTGCTAAGAGGTATGGTTGCGAGACACTAACATTTTCTTATAAAAACTTGAAGTCAGAGGTCAAAGTCTTATTCGGGCACATCTAATTTTTTGCATCTTATTAATGACATCTGCATATAGATCTCAAATAGGGTTCCAACAAGCCATATCAGCTTTGGAGATAACAAAATTACAATTTATTACAATGACCTTAGCTAACACATGGAACTGTCTATTTCCAGGAGCAGTAGCCCTCAACTTTTCAGGGTAAATTTCTGTTCTGCAGTTGACTAGGTACTATGAAAGAAAATAGGATTTTGAGTTTTAACATATTTGCACAGGCTTTTGGTCATTACAAAAAGGAAATGAATGAGCACATTTGTGGAAAATCTGGCAATGTTTGAGAATAGTGGCAACGTCAGAAGGATCCAAGTATAACAAAAATAGAGCATGAGATAAGACAAGCAATGGTGTTAGTGAATGTCCTCTCTATCTTGTGACATGGACACTTGGCACATAATTCTAGCCATTAAGTATTTCTGCAGAACTTTCCGTCACTTTTTAGTGTCAGAAGAATGTTGTCATTTTAGGGACTTTTGGCTATCACAGCTGGACATGTACATTCAGACAAGAAATGAAGAAAACCAGAAATCAAACCTGGTTTACAGGATTCAAATAATGGTGTCAACAGATACAGAATCTCCATATTTGCACCTCTTGTGACTCAGAAGAAAAATACCAAAACTGTACTGTGGTGTGTCTTTGGTTCTGACTGGTCTGGTCTTCTAACACTAGCTAAGTCTTCAAATACTGGCTAAAGCTCCCATTAAAACAGATCTTAAGTTGAGTAAACTACTAATCATTCAGCCAAACATGAAATAACCTAAGTCAGAAGTACTCTTTCAACTTCTAGTAGTATAACTCCACTAAATCATGACAGATTGAAGAAGATGAAGAAATATTTCTTTTTAGATGATCTACTGTGGCACTATCTACATTGTCTTGCATTCATGATACAGAAGCATCTGCAGCAAATGAAGCTTATACTCCAGGACAGACAAACCAGCATTCACGCACTCTTCTGCATGTGAACAGGCAAGTTTATGTATTTTATCTAACTGTATACCATTGCTGTAGGAAAAAACAAGAGGAGCTGTGATTTATGCTTTTGCTCTTCAGAAAAGTAACTCATCTTAAAGGCAAGTTTGATGTCCGTTCTGTCTCAGATTAGGAGAAATTATGATAAACAGAAATAGAAAGTTTCTTAACACATTTTCAGTCTTCTCAACAGTGCTTACACAGGGGAGAGCCTGATGAGGAAAAAAGGAGAATGACTGAAGAGTTTCACTAAATGGCAAAAAGATTTTCTAAGATGAGGAACACAGTGGACTGGAAAGTTCAAAGATTTATAATCACAGAATAATGTAGGTTGGAAGCGACAACTGTAGGTCAACTGGTTGAACCACCTATTCAAAGCAGGGCCAACTTAGATCAGGTTTTGCTCCAGGCCTCATCTAGTTGCATTTTAAATATTTACAAGGATGAAGATTTCACAACCTCTCTAGGCTATCTGTTCCCATATCTGATCAGCCTTTACTGCAATTTTTTTTTTTCCTTACTACCTAATCAAGGTTTCTTTGTGGTAACTTCTGTACACTGCTTCTTGTCCTATCCTTCTTCGTCTCCGAGAGCTCTCACAATGCCTACACTTGCCACAGAGACGTCATCTACAGGAGAACAAATCAACAATTAAGCTATAATCGTTAAGTGGAGAAATTGGACTGAAGTGAAAAAGCACACATGATAACAACAAGTCATATTCTAAAAAGGTTACTAGTTCATTTCACTTTTGTTTCCTGAAAGAAAACCAAGTTTCTACAGCTCTGAATGGCTAACGGATATTTCTCTCAAGATTATTACTGTCCTGGACTGTAAGCCCCTTTAGTTAATGATTATGCCACAATGATTTAATTATATGAATTAATTATCAATTCGGGTGGAAAAAAAAATCCCAAACAAACCATACAAGGAGCATCACAGAAATAAAAGTTTTAGTAAAAATAGCTAAGCATCTGCATTGGACATAACGGGCAGGGTTTGGGGTAGCAAAGGGCTGCAGGGGTGACCTGTGCAGGAGGTGGTCAGGGACTGCCCTGTGCCCGTCAAAGCCACTTCCAGCCAACCCCGCAACCGACAAACAAACCCACCAAAACTTCAATCAGTCAGAGGAGCCTACGGTGCCTCTGAGAAAACATATTTAAGCGAGGAGACACTGGAGAAAGTATGACTCTAAAGGGACTGTGGTCGGTGGAGGAATCCATGCTGGAGCAGTGGGTAAAACAAGAGGAGCAGCAAAAGGAAAGGCAACGTCATGCCCTGACCCCCATCTCCTGTGCTGCCATCACCGCATCAAAGGGACTGAGTGTAGCGTGCTGTGAGGGCCTGGAGACTGCGAAGCAGGGAAGAGAGCCATCCAAAGGGGAGCCGAAGGCTGTTTCTTTAAGCATTTGTTTGCTTTTATTTCTCAATACCAGGATAAATAATTGAAAGTTTATGTCAATTGACAATAAACTAAGTAAAATTCCCTGACTCAAAACAGTTTTGTTGCCCACGACAGCATCTCAGACTATCACAAGCCCCCTAAATTCTTCTGTGCAGTCCTATTACTCAAAAGAATATTCAAGTGTAGACAATTAGCATTTAATAGCAAAAGACAGGATGAAAGCCACATGGACAAATGCAAACATGTCAACAGCATACACTGTTTTGAATACAATGCTCATGCTGGCATTTATCAAAACCTACATGTTTAATTCCATATCATATTTGATATTTTACAATTGAGAAAGAACTGTCATTACATCTCCCCAAAAACAAAAGGAAAAGTTGACATTTCACTTTCAACCGAAATGCAGAAAATATCAAGAAACTGACTCAGGTTTTAAATGCGTAAGTGTATTTAAACTACACCAAAGAATATAAAACAGTACATGAAAAATATTTCAATACAGTCACTGGAATGCAATGAAGTATTGCTGTACTAGCAATGGGTGCACTTAGAATTTAATACAACATTACAGCATGTTTTAAGTGCACTAAGTCAAAATTATGAGTTTCACTGCAATCAGGACTGAAACAATAAGGGATGCATTTTGATTTGATAAGTCTTTCTCTGTCTGCAAGACAGTAGCATTTCTAAGCAGATACATTAGATAATCCAACCACACAGTTACCCACTCTTCCTCGTTCAGGTAATTCCAGCAAACAAATAACTCTGTCATTAAATTTACTGTGGTTTATGAGTATATACACAAAGAAAATAAAGAACACACAGACACACATATGAATGTGTGCATGGCAACACTTTCTACTATACATTATTTCTGTTAAAAAAGCACCAGATTAAATTTTTGGCATTAAAGTCAAGTTCTAACCACATTCCAAATTACGCCCAGAATTTCATCTTATGATTTCCGCGCCCCCCGCCCCCCCAAACATGAGTATGCATATACATATAACTAAAACAAATCTAAATTTTACTTTATGAGAATATCCTAAATGCTCAATAAATATTTGTTTTTTTCCTTCTGAGCAAATCTGTAAACAAAGAATTCACTTGTAGTCTGGTAAGTTTCCAAGAGGTAAGTTTCCAAGAGGGAAGAGAAACAAGTAATCTGTTGGGATAAAAATATTCCAATTTCTTGAATGTTACTAATTATACATAAGAAGTTAGAGTTTATAGGTACTTTTTCTTAATTACTCGATTTGGCAGTCAAAAAATATGCCATTTTTTCCCCTCTTTCAAGAGCCAGAACAATCCCGGCAAGACGTAATTCAAACACTGGGAGCAAATATTTTAGTATCAAATGACTGGCAAAATCTTTAAAAAATTTCTACAACACCCCCTCCTCTTCAATTTTACTAACAAAACGTATACATATTTCATACTGCAAGTGTAGTCTAATGGAATATCAGTTAACTTTCACAGTATTTTCTATCTGTCATTAAAAATAAGCTTGAGATATTAAAACAAATGGAATTTTAAAATAGTATATTAAATAAAACTGCATATTCACTGTGGGATAAAGATAAATTGAACTCACTTTGGGTTGTTTTATTAGGTCAACTAAATCCTTTACTTGATGTCGTAGCAGATTTTGGCATTTCCACATTTCATTCAATGCTCTGAAAAAATTAAAAAGATTAAGTTGTCAAAATTGTCTATTCAATAGATAACACAATTGTCCAATAAGAGCCTTTAAATTCTTTTCAACTTCAGACTCAGAAATGTGCTTATCACCTGATCTTTCATTGCTGTGTGAGCAAAGGCTAAATGCTTCCTAATGGCATGATATGGAAAATTTAGTTGGTCATATTAGACTGGATCAAAGTGAGATTTTGAAACAAGTTTCATTTCAGATGCCTAACTACACTGCCTTTAAAAGAAGTGGGAAGTAACGCCTGGCCCATAAAGAACTCATTTGTACAAGCCTGAAATCACTCTTCTGAAAACATTCCAAGCAGCAAGCTAAAGCAGATGTTTAAGATTTTTATCATCAAAACAATGTTTTTCTTGCACACAGAAAGCAGCTACTAGATGAATAAATTGTGAAAAGTGGGTATGATTAGACTTGTAAGAGACGCATTAGAGAGATTCGACAAAACTGAAAATTAGCACACTTCCCAGGAAAAATAAACCACATAAATAAAAAAAAGTCACAGCTTCATTTAAAAAAACCTTCCAGAATACACAGGTAAAAAGTCAGTTCTATATAACTGTTACCTATCTAACTGAACATACTATGTCTTTAAAATCAGTGTGAAAACCGTAGATGTAAAATGCGTCTGGAAACTGTAGAATTCAGAAGTTATTTGTTCCCTGAAATAACAAATACTGAAAAGAATCCATTCTGCATTTTTGTTTAGCCTATACTAAAAATTCCTAGAACAGTAACTTTTCATTTTTAATATACTATTCTTTATTATAGTTTGGTACAGTTGTAATATCTTTAGGTAGGTAATATAAGAAACAGGATTCAAACATCAGTTTCTGTAGTATTTGAAGGCTTTGGGGTTTTTTTAAGCCATTCTTTCATATACAAAGCTTTCTCTATCCTCCCTCATGCAAAAAAAAAATAAAACAAAACCAGCATAACCGATTTTCAAGTGACTGACTACTAATAAATGAAAAGCAAAGTAAAACTAACTAAATCAAACTGTGAACAGTACAGTAGCAAAACTGTTATTAGTCAAATTCATGTGCATGTACCCATTTTAAGCTGGAGAAGGCATATAACATTATGTTAAGTAAAATGCATATTGAAGTAGGAAAGACAAACAAGTAATCCCTTCCCACTCTTAAGTCATCCTGGCTGCTACAACAGAAGTATATTAATTGAACGGTTGACTAGCCCTAGATCTTGTCTGACAACGCTACTATCTATGCTACCTTGTGTCAGACATAAAAGATTGACACGCACTCAGGCTTCTTTCCAGATCTTTAACATTACTTTTTTTCTCTCTCTATGGTTAAGAGTAGCACACCTTGTTAGAAAACACTCTATTAGTTTGTTCTGTTTCATTTTGGTTTTTTTTCCACAAAATCCCACTTGAAAAATACATACTATTGCTACGTTCTGTTTTCTGATAGTTCATAAGCTACTTTCATCCATTGTCTTAGGCTACTCATAACAATTTAGAACTAATTTACAATAACATTTGTGTTAAAAATAATTTTGCAAGTAGTCAAAAATAGCACATACTTCACAGCATTTGAATCCAATGTTGCATAAAGGTAATACAAACATTTCATTCGTTCATTTGTTTCCAAGTTGTGAGGGACCATGTACTGAGCAAAGATGCGTTCAACAAGTAATCTGAAAGACAGGATTAAGAAATTTAAACTGTAAAGGAAGAAAGTGGTCTTGAATTGCCAACACATTAATTCAAAAATTCTCAGACCTATCTAGAGATCAGACGTTGCACATAAAGACGGGGTTATTCAAAAAACCTAAAGGTCAAGTTACTTAACTTCCAATATAACTCAGCATAAACTAAACAAAAATATATCATTACAGAAGATGTAATGTTAATGTTAGCAGCAGGACATTTAAGTGATGACATTATCAAAATCAGATACATTAATCTAAATAAGAACCACAGAATTTTAGAGAAGGACGTCTCTGAATTATCAGCCCAAGGAGATGTTACCAGTGAATTTCATTATGGGTCAGTGTTGGGGTAAATACACTAATTGATCCAAATTAATGGGCCTAAAATAAAAAAAAGAAATATCATGTTGATTATCATGAACATTATCATGAAGCCCAGAAGGAGAACTAGTCAGAAGGAGCTGACATCCCTCCACCCCTCCCTGGCCCCTTCCCCAAGGGCTGAGTTTATCCCATTTCTTCTGCTTCCGCAATAAAAATGCAGGTACATTCACAAGGGAATTATTAAAAGCTTCTGCTATAACATGGAAGCTCCTTATTTGGAAACAGAAAGAGAGAGAAAGGTTTGGGTCTGCCAGTTACCTAGCAAAGACTGAGAAGGGAGGGAAAAAAAAAAGAAATATAAAAGAAAAACTAAGCCCATGTTGCAATCTTAAATACCAAGGCGGCCCAAGACTTTTGTGAATTGACATCAACGTTAACAGAATGGAGTAAATAGGTAAAAAACCCAATCATGTATGTATAGGCTAGAAAAGAGAAGAAAACCCTTATGCACAATTGGAGCAGGTAGTCAAAACCCAAACCCAGCTAGTTTAAAAAGATCCTAAAGTTTAAGCAAAATATGAGTGGGTAAGACTGGATCTCAAGATCCAGAGAGTTCTGTCCACTTCCATGGTACCATTAAATAATTGCTTATTTTTAAGAGACTTTCTGAGGCTGTGAGTTTTTGAAAAGACTTGTATGTGTTCGCAATACCATTTGTATCCGAACATGCTGTGAAGGTCAAAGGCTCATTTTGCAAAGCCACCAAGATGGCCTTGATTAGTCAAGGCAGACTAGTTCCCAAAGTAGCTCCTCATGTGCAATCATCTATTTTTCAATACGAACGACGACATACACAAGGCTATAGCTGGTACGACAGAGGCACTGTTTTCATCACAAATCCAGGACAAGGCTCTAATTCATGGTTATTATAGTACAGAAGAACTAACCTGCAGAGTGAGATGCCTTAACCGTTGTCACTACACTTAGCGAACTTATCTTTAAAGCATATAGGAACAACATGCAAATCTAAAGCAAGATTGTTAAAGCAATTTTACTGACTGAATTTTAACATGAAAGTTAGCAAGCTACTGAAATATAAACAAAAATCTCCTTACTGAAGCAGTGGTGAAGTATAGCTAAAAATTTTGAAATATTCCAACCTATCCCACCCTTTAGAATCACTTTTGGCCTTAAAAAAAGGAAGTACAAGAAAACAACAAAGGACAACATTTGGCTGCAGCTGTATAAGATTATGCACTGGATCAAAACATACAGGATTATCAAGTCACCTCCTTCTTGTCAGCACTAAAGCACAATGGAAAAACAAATCCACATAAGTTACAGAATCACTTAGCTTTCACGACTAACTTACCGGTCATCAATACTGTTTTGATAATATATATGCAGAAGTTTATCTTTGATCCATGATATCTGTTTTGCAGCTTCTTTTCCTGCTTCTGATTGTAATGAATATTTCTTGTATATCTGTGCAAGTCCCATCATAGCTTCCTTCCTCACTCTCCACTTGAGAAAAAGAAATAATACCCAGTTTAGTAGTTCAAAACTCAAAACTGAAAAGACTGCAGAATTTCCTGGTAGGTATTTCCTATTCTACACCAAAATAATTTAATTTACAAAAAAGTTAAATTGAGTTCTTAGTGCAACGCTTTCTCATCAGGACATATATTGCAACATATCTATTACGCTAAACTCTTCATCATCAGTAACTACTATGCAAGTATGCCTCTTGAATTTAGAATTGTTACAAATTTAAGCCAATACCCCTTCTCAGTCCATACTGGATATTTGTGATTGTATTACAGGTGCGGCAGGGGAAAGCATATCACCAAATGGAAAAAACAAAACAAAAAACACTGGGTGACAACATTAATTTTAAAATTGCCAGCAAACTATTAAAATTTGAGAGCTACGACACTGATTTGCAGTCTTCCAATGATCTACTTAAAGCAGGTAAACTAGATACTTCTGATGGTGGAACATCCTTTTTTATTGGTAAACTACAACACATTTTGAAACCTGCCTGCAAAATTTGTTAAGAACAATTTTAGAATATTTTACAAAGGTCTCCTTGTACCTAAAAATTTTACGAAAACCAGACAACTGGAACAACATTGTTGTACCTCAGCCTTTTTTTTTTTATCGTACCAGCTTAAATGAAAATACAGCACAATGAAAAACGTGGCATTCCAGTCAGGGGCAAAAGATACCTCATTAAATAGACTGCTTCAAAATTTTTTGCATTATATTGGCTTTCATTTGTCATTTTAAAATTAGTTCAGCATTTTTTAGAAGCGCTGCTTTTTAAAAAGCTGAATTACATTCTAGAAATACAACACACAGCCATTAGCAGGACCAATTATGCCTTACCCGCTTGTCCAGTGTTCGTTCTCTGACAAAATTAAGCAGGTGATCATTGACAAGCAAAAGATCTTTTTTAGCAGCAGTAACTATGGATACTATAACATCATGCCTTATGGCCTCTTCAGGATCATGTGACCTTACTTTAAGATATTCTGGAAAAAAAAGAGTAAGTATTTCATTGTAAGTGTACAACTTCAGCTACATTTCTTTCTCTAGACAATATTCAACTGACAGAAGCAAAACCCATGATCTTCTACTGTTTTGAGCATCAACAGTAAGAAACCAATAGTATCCTCTAAGATTAACTGGAATGTCAGTAAAACTTTATATTTGCTTAGAGTACCAAATATTTATATTTCTGGTATTATGGAAATAAGAGTTATGGGGTTATATTTTTATTTTTATTATTTCTTATAATAGTTTGGCTGCGTCTATGTTAGCAACTCTTATAGCCAAACAGAATTGGATTTGTACAGTAGAACAGACAGTACTGAGAACTTGATAACCACACTACATACATTTTAAAGTCTTACTTCAGGCTAGAGGCTACTCTTTTCCAGCAGTCAAAGGGGATGGAGTCTGCAGGAGCACATTAGTTGCACTCCTGATCACAACTTCTGTATTATCCACAAGGAATCTAGTTCACATGCTCCAAGAATACTCCACAGTGTGAGCCACGTAAGCATTGTAAGCAAGGACAAATCAAGAGACATACTTCAAAAGCATGCTCTTTGACCAAGCCATGATGCTTATTTAGACACATCCTAGTCTATTCATCTTAAAACAATTTTTCTAGATTAATTTGGCCCATTGCCTTGTACTATCAACACTTTAAGACTTCTGCTTGTAAGTGTTAAACATGTTAGCTACCTGTAGTCATTTTAGAAAGCTGACAAATAAAATAGCAAAGTTCATTTATCTTCTTAGAAGTATGTATTCTAGGTCAATTTAAAAGCACAAACGGGTAGGAAAATGCACACGAAAGTTATCAAGATCACTGTACACAACATACATCAGTGAAACACTGAGAACATTAAGAAACATTGAAAATTCACCGTTTACTCTGAATGAAATAACCAGAAGTTACTGTTCTCTTATTACTGTTCAATGACCGGTGAAAATTTTCAAGTCCTGTCTGAAATATTGGCCATCAACATTTTCGGTAATCAGCATAAATGTCAAAAGGGCACACCAAGAAATAAAGCTTTGCATTTATGGAGGTTATGAAATTTGAAATCCAAATAAGACCTTTTTTTTAAAAAAAAAAAAACAGTTTTGTTCCACATGAACACATAACCACCTAAAACAAACGAAGAACAATGCCATTGTACAAAACAATTCTGGTCTCAAACACCAGTGAGTCAGAGAAAATTTTCAACAATTTGACTTCAATAAGCACTGTGGGGAGAAAGAGGAGGGGCAAGCAAAATTACATTTCCCAGAGGATACCATTAGAGGGGGCACAAAGTCTTTCTGCAATGTAAAAAAGAAAAAAAAAAAAAAAATCCTTGAAAATACAATTCAATACAATTCTGACAATCAAAGAGGAAATACTTCTTTTACCATTTCATTAAGGAAAGGTCCAGACACTTTTTTTTTTTTTAAAAGCTGGCCTAACAATGCCAATAACTACAAGATGACTCTAGCCTGCCTGTATTTGTGTCTAACTTGACAAACTCTCAGCGAGCAAGACAGCAACCCCATGCGCTTAACAGCCCTTTAAATTCCCTCCCTAGAGCAAATGGACAAAGATACTACCTCCAAAAAATTACAAGGAGTTTACTGATCAGGGGGAGATACGGTCTCCATATGCACTTTGAGGGGAGAAAAAACCTCAAACCAACCAATTCTCTTTACATTTTTTTCATTAAGGCATCAGGAGCAACAAATACTAAGCTCTTCTGCCTGTGCCAGTTGCCTTCTTCCTACAGAGGTCTTGAATTACAAGCTATGTTTGACCTGAAGGAGCAGGAACCAACGGCTGCGGTCCCAGTCTCCAGGACTGTCTTCATGTTTTAGACATGGCTGCATAATATTTACACATTTCAGCTTTGTGGAACTGAAGTCTCCACTCCGCACCCTAATTAATAAATGCCATGACCATTAGGGTAGCCATGCCTGATCCCATGGTACTTCACTTCAACAGCAGTTGGGAATGCCGCTACTGTAAGAGACGGAGAGTGAACGCTTTGGTTAAGGCATTCTTTATTTGCAATCTCCTCAGCCTGAGAAGCAGCACTGAAGGCAGACTCTATGCCTTAGAAATCCAGCCTCAATTACGTCCTCCACAACATATGACAACGTTACTCAGGATTACAACGAACCTTCCTGACTTTTCCAGGAGACTTAAAATTCTATTTTAATGTTGTAACAAATCTGGTACCTGTTAAGTCTTTTGCTAGGTCGGGATGGTTCATAAGGCAGTGACTTGCAAATTTCACACATTCAAGACGAATAGGTACATGGATATCATTAAACCTATTTAGAAACAAGACAATGCATTACAACAACAACAAAAATATCACTTCTACCAAAGCAATCAGTTTATTTCTACACAATCTCAAATACATCTGAAAATATTTTTATGCTTCCCATGCACAGTCACATGCATAAAACATCTCTGATTTCACAGTATTGAGTAGACTGTCTTTAGCTTAAGAAAAAATTCCTGTACTCATTTATTAATTCATGTTCTGAACATGAAGAGAGGTATCCTCTCCTGGTACACATGAAGAACTCCCAGGCAAATAACAACTATTTATCAGAAAGATGTCTGACACATTTTAACTATCTTTTCTGTAATGCTCCACATAATTAATCATGTATCAGCAACTAAAGGTTTTGTTAGACTGCGGTATTTGTCCCCTCTTTAAACTGTATGATAGACAGCAAACAAATGGGTACTCTAGCCTAGTACAAATTTCTTCTGAGATGGATCACTTCAATTTCTGCAAGATTTCCTTTCGAAAGACTGAATTAGGTTTGATGCTTCAAAACTAGTATTTTCTCATGGTTAATTTTGATATAGGTAATTTTATAATAAAACTATTGATGTAATGAGAGTTATCAAGAACTCTTTTGAAAAATTAAATGGATTTTCAAGCTGTCCTCAAACAGCGAGGATATCCTCAAAATTTAAACAAATTAAAAATCAAATTTTAGAGCATTATTGCTGTTGAAATCCTTATTTATCAAATAAAGAAGTGTTAAGGAATAACTGTTCTAGTAAAAACCAGGTATATTTTCAAAATCAAGAGATTTTAAGAATGGTTCCTTTAATAACATGGCTATTATAACTTAGTTAAAAACCTTGGAAAAAAGTAAATACATGTACATGATTCATAACTAGTTGAAAACAGCAATTATGAACAACAGATTGCACGTATTCACATTGTTTCACATTATAACACAATGAAGCATCTTCCTTTGGGTCCAATTAGATCTGGTATTTTTTGATGACATGCAATGCTTTAAATAGTTATATACTGTCAAGCAAAAGGCCTTCCCTCAATTAAGTTTCCTGTACTTTTAAAAAGTAGCATTTCTTTGAGGACTCTGGTTTTGATACGATTGAGTGCTAAAATATGAACTACTGCATTTGTAATAATTTATATAATTTATCCTCATTTACTGAAATCAAAAACATTTTCATCATAGTAGTCCTACTTAGGTTTCTCCTGACTACAAGCTCCAGGTATATTTTCTGGCAGAATATTTCAAAACCAAAAGACTAAGTGTGTTTTGCAGCATTATAAATACTCACAGCTCTTTTAAGACATTCCTACCATTAAAAAAAATTGAAACCAGTATACAAATACTGTGCATAAAAGCCTCAAAACCAGTTCTAAGATCATCTGATATTGCAAATGTCATTTTTATGTTTTAGAATTAATCCATCATTGAATTGTTTCACTTAAAATAAACTATTCCTTTTTCTTGACAGTGGTAATAAAGACAGATGCAAAACATGAACTAACAAGGGATGATTTGTAATTGTTCCCTTGGCAGAATCACAGATGCAGAAGATGTACATAAAATAATCTCTTTAGCATTATCTGTCAGATTTCAGATAAAGCAGCAGGAGGGAACTCACACTGAGCTGTAACACTTCAAAAAAAAAAAAAGTTGAATTATACTTCTTTGAACTTTTTTTTCCCCTCTTAGGAAGAGAACTAAACCAGCATATACCTCCCCAGGTAGCACTGCCAAAGTGGTTTGTTTTGAGATGCCAACTCCGAATCCTTCGCCCCAAACATTTTTGCTAGAAGTTTTACAACCTGCAGGCGTTCTTCATTGTCATTGCTCTGGAAGATGAACACATTTTTATTTTTTTTTAATTAAAAAAAAAGAAAAAATCCCACACCACAAAGACAGAGTTCTGTTTTATACAGCTTTTACACCAGTACACTTATACACCTCTAGAAATATTATAATACAGATTAATAGACTTTTCTTGTATGCAAATGTATATTAAGACAAAAAACCTTCACTAGTATTGGGAGAAGACAAAATAATAAAGGCAATGAAAACAAAAAACAACGTAGAGACAAAAACCAATGTGAACAAAGCCTGGTGAAAAATACACAGATACAGACATCTTTTTAACCCTCATTTACAGGTTACTGATCCTGTCAAGAAATCTGGTATGTGCCTGTACGAGCTTACACAAATTTAAGCACAACACAAAACCCACAAAATTCATTCTATTTTTGTCTGCACATAAAGGTTTGCAGTTGTCTAGAGTAGTGTTTCATTATAAACATTTAGTTAAAAACAAAAAAAAAATTCAGAAAACAAAGTTTTTAGAGAATATCAAATTAAGTACCCAAGATCTGAGAGATGCACAGGATCTGGTCCTGTATTTAAGTATATCTTTAAAAATGCCGAGTTACAACAGAAACTTTTCTTTCATATTTAAAACTAGCACTAACAGAGATAAAACAAGTCCTTCTCCAGTATATTTTCATTATCTTCGGTTTGCATTACACTTGTTTAATACAACACACAGCCTTTGAGGCTTAATATATACTTTGGAAATGTGTACTAACATTTGCGCAATTAGCATGCACTTACTGTACACCAGTTTTTTTCCTTCTGCTTATAAAAGAAGAAGAACAACAAAAGGCTGCAACAGTTCTTTGGAAAGGGAATAGCTAAAATTAGTTGATATTAACTAGATATTACTCAACCATTATTATTTCAGTCTTTTTTTCTGGCAATAAAGACAGAGACTGTTTAAAATACTGGTTTTTTTCCTATCATCTTTGAATTCTTATTAGTTCAGCATCACCTTTTGAACAAGAAATAGGAGTGCAATGTAGCTGTCAGCATTCTCTAATATCACACCACAATCTTAAAAGACCAACTATTTCTCCTATCTGACTCAATACCATAAACGGGCTGAAAAGTTTGCTGGTATGTCCTTTTAATTCAGCTTCCTAAGAACAGTAAAAGCATTTGTAAAACCTTTAAAGTAACAGAGCAAGAGAAGTTAAGGATGAAGAAATCTCTTAACACCGATGTATTACTACATTACAAAAGACTACAATTCTTCTGAATACACTTTAGTGTTAAGTATTAGCAGCATTAACAGTAAATCCATTAATATGTTTGTCTGCATTTGACTAATTTTTCCAATTAAAATTCAGATTGACATTACTGAAAGCCATCTAAAACCTCTCCCTCTTAATCTGCAATGACATCTTTTTTCTCGATGAATTTCAGCTTGTAAGTGTCCGTTACACTACAAATTCTTATTCTGTACCCTCATGGTTAAGAATTTTACATTTTTTTCTGTAGCCTATATTAGTCCCATATCCATTGCTCACATCCCATCCACTCCTGCTTAAACCAACAAAATATTAAAAATATTAAGCATCTCCGAATTTCTCTAGGTAACCAACACAGATCCAGAGCAAGATTCCCCAGAGGGTGGGAATGGAGGGGGGTGGAGGGGTTGGGAGTACACTAAACACTCAACTACTTAATTACACAGCCAGAAGTACAGAAAAAAAATAAAAGAGGTATTAAAAAAACCCCCACACCTAAAAATCCTTAATGAATTAGCCAAAGAAGCAGCTTTCACTGTATTAGCCACTAATGCAATTGTAAGACAACCCACCAATGTTTCTAGTCCTGTTTGTAGGAAAAAAATGAGTATTTGTGATTATGGACCAAAAGCATTTAGTACTTTCTAAATTCGTGCCCAGATGTCATTCTTCTTGAAACATTCTTATCCAGGCTCCTAAAGGTAATAAAAATCAACCTGTACTTCTTCTTAAATGAATGCATCACTGCTACAGTCTCTCTCCTTTATTCTAGTTTAATCTCTATTTCGTTTTCTGAGGGGAAAAAAAATGAGCATCAAACTCAAAAAAAAAAATCTTAATCCTTCTCCATTCTATGAGACATCATGTACTTGAAGAGTAACGTCCTTCATCTCTTTTCTTTAGGTATGATCCAGCACTCTTTATGTTTAACAGTGTTCCATCATGATTTGTCAATAAAAATTGACATTGAACACTGATATTTTCAGTTCCCCATACGTGCTCCCAACACACAGGCAGCTGCTCTTCTGCCTAGATGTCAGGGTCTCCCACTAACAGCAGCTGAAGTTGGCCAGCCTGTTATCACTACCAAGTCCAAAAGAATAGGCAGCACTGAGGATCTGGGGGGGATTTGGGGGTAGAAGTGGACACATGACCTCAAAGTTGTCAAAAAATTTAACTATCATATCCAGGAAGAAAGGCAGCTCTACAATAACAGAAGTCAACATTTGATTGATTTTATTCATTACATTGTATTGGCCTAGTAAGATGGTAAAATAAAGATCTAAAACATGTTATGGTTATTTCCTAAATACTCTATTCATGAGCTTATTCTCCTGAACATTAAAACGGTATTCACTTTCAGTAATACAAATTTCTAAAATTTGAATATCAAATTTGAATGAAGGAAAATCAGTTCCCTTCACAAGCTGACCTACACAACAATACATTCTTAGCTCTGTTCTCTCCTGCCTCAATAATGCTTCCATGTCAATGCTAGATCTCCAAACACACCACCTTAAAATGCCAAGATCAGGCACAAATGAATGACCCTCACAGAAGAGGCTAAATTAAATGAATTTCAGCGCATGTTCTCCTGCTAAACCCCCATTCCAAAATTAGGCAAAAAAAATAATTACCATTGAGAAGCAACCATGATTCAACACAGATCTCTCAGAGTTTAATAATGCTCCTTTTCTGCCACATGAGAACATAGGAGCGTTTGCTTTACAAAAATCTATACGGGTGTGACGGGTTGGCGCCAGCCAAAAGCGAAACATCCACTCTCCTCTCTTGTACAGAGAGGGGAAGGGGAAAAAATAGAAAGAAAGTTAAAACGCTCAAGGATCAAGATAATGACAGTTTAATAGGTAAAGAAAAAACTGCAAGCACAGGTAAAGCAAAAAAGAAGAACTCGTTCACTACTTCCCATTGGCAGGGCAGATGTCCCGCCAGTTCCCGGAGAGCAGGGTCTCAGCACGCACAGTGCTTGCTTGGGAAGACAAACACCATGAGCGCAAACGTCCTCCCCTTCCTTCTCCTTTCCCTGAGCCTTTATTGCTGAGCATGTGTCCTCTTCTCCACCTCCTGCCCTGCCCCAGCCTGCTCGTGGCGGGGGGAGAAAGCGTTTACCTGTGCAAGCACTCTTCAGCAACAGCCAACACATTAGTGCGCCATCAACACTGTTTTAGTCACAAATATAAAGTACACTACCTTACAGGCTGCTACAAAGAAAATTAACTCCATCCCGGTCAGACCCAAAAGGATAATTACTTTGTCCACATCTGTTTGGTACGTGACACGGCACAGCACACACCTGACTGCGTTTCGGTTCTCTTCAAACATACTGAAAAGATTCTTGGGATAGATAGGACAGAAAAAGCAACTGAGGGAGCAAAGCACACAAAAGCTGCACATTTCAGAGAATACCAGTTACTGCCAGCAACCTTTCATTCTTCATTCAAGTCAACACGTCCAATTCTCACAGCAGGTAAAATTATCTCGCATTGCGACCAAACTGTACGGTCACTGGTTGTACCAAAATGGCAAGGTGCTCAAACACTAGGTGGCCACACTGTTTAGATCCAAAAGAGCAGATACACACAACAGTGTTGCTAAGGTACCTAAACACTCTCACAAGTTCCATAACCCTTCCATACATGGTCAAAAATTTATTGGGTCACTGACAAGAAAGCTCTTGGATTTTACTCAGAGACAGTCTAGAACTTCCATAAGGCCCTGAATCCCATGAAGATAAATCAAGAGGCTTCCTGCCACAAAGATTGCAAAAGAAGTTCAGGGAGATGGAGAGCAAGACATTTGGATCCTGTTAGGTAACGAGTCACAGATACACAGATGTTTGGTCACATCCTCAAGCTCCTATCAGCCACAGAGGACAAGTCCAATCCATTGGAAGGCAGCGGAGATTGCTCAGTGACGCTCACCTGGTTGTTGGGAGAAAACCACCACCACTTCATTTTCAAAACACACCACAAAATGTTTAGAAGCAAAGAAATAAGACGCTACACGAAAATTCTGGTTCAAGTACAGAATATACAAATAGTGGAAAAGTTGCTGATGCCAGGAAGAATCAGTTTAGAGAAACAGGATCACTATCAGAGAAACACCCAGCACATACTGCGAGACAAAGTACCCTAAGGTCAGGATGAAACGTGTGAACAATCCCCGAAAGAACAAGTCAAGAATATCAAGAGATTTCAGCATCCTCCAAGAACAGGAGAAGGTCCTCAAAACTGGAACAATCAAGATCAAGAGCACCTTCCCCCCCCGGCCCCACAACTAGGATTTATGGAAGGGAGCATGGCAGTCCTTGCAATCATGAAACAGGAGTTCATCCAACAAACTTCACAGATTTCAGTCTGTCCTCAGACAGAACTCGGTAGTTCTCATAAGCCCAGGCAGAACATAGATTCACATAAGCCAGGCACATTCATGGGAAAAGCCTGGACATGGCCCCCTACTGAGCAAAGTTACAGTTCTTTGTAGATGATTACTTGGAGTGGTCGGTAGTTGGAGACGTTGGGCGTATGAACTGCCAACAACGGCATACCGCTGAAACTTCAACAGCTTCCAACAAAGCAGGACTGACATCCAGTTTCTGCAACATTGTGTGAAGGTTAAATGATTGCAGAGTCACCCGTCACCACAGCTACACAATCCTCAAAAGACAGCAAAGAGCTCTTCTTAAGCAAGAAGGGGTACGTCCACCAGCATTACTGAAGCATACATTCTAAGAC